AAATTGCAATCTTACGATTGAAGACTTACCCTCATAGATGTCTTCTTATCTTAGATGACTTTGCTTCTCATCCTTTTGTTAAAGAACAGAGAAACAGAATATGTGTCGAATTCTTAAGAAGCTCAGACACTTTAACATCTCAGTTGTCATTTGTGTACAGACAGCAAAGAGTTTAAGTAAGGATGTTAAAAGAATACTTACTGACATAATACTTTTCCCGGATTGTCCGAAGACGATTTCATGGAACTTATGAAAGAGTCCATGGCAGGTAAGTTTGACAGACATGAACTATGGGAGAGTACAAAGTCATACAAGACCCTTCATTACTTCTTTCAGAATTCATATCTACGCAAACAAAGTTTCAAATTGTAAAAAGTCAAGCTTGAAAATAAATGGTTCATCTACCCTACTTCCGTTTGAAGTTGTTTCAAAATACTCTGTTATTTTTTCTTTCAAGTAGCGGCAAGTCTTCTTTGAAGGTACAAAATTTTTGTACAACCTTTCCATACATATCTCTTGTTCAAAACAGTAACATGGGCAAACTATGAATGGTTCGCTTTGAGAAACTCAGTACAACCACAAGCTAGAGAACAAACAGACCAGTATGCAAATATTGAGAAAATAAGAAGACTTGACCCTAACGTTCCAGGAGTTTATGTTAACCTTTCTGGTTCAGATGGAACTGCTGCCACTAAAGTAAAACTGAAACTTAGAGTTCCTTTGTCATCTTTCCTCATCTTCAGGTTTTAAGATACTTGCCAAACTGGGCAGGAAAAATTTCTATTGAACTTACTCCAAGCAAAAATAACTTAGTCATTGCACCAACACAAGACCCATTCAGCATTACTATAGCTGGAACTGGTGGAGCCAAGTTCTGTGACTTTTGCAAAAGACAAAGTTGACTTAGACTTTGGTTTCTCAAACTTCAACAATGAAGTAAACTATTATTTCAATGCTGCTGGAACTGCTTGGGACCCAGTTAAGTTACATGCGAAAAGTTTGAATGCAAGAGAATAGAAAGCAGACTTGCAGTCTATATGTTGGACCCAGATATTTCAAATGCTTTAGCTGCCAAATATATTGCAGTTCCACTTATGTTCCCTATACACCAAATATCTGTCAAAGACTTTGCAGGTGAAGTTGGAAACCAAAGTGCTGACCCAGGTGCAAGAACAGATATTGCTTTAACAACTGCAATGAAACATGCAGATACTATGTTTGTACTGTTCAGACGAACTATAAATGACTATTCTTGTTTCTACAACCCCGTATTAAATATCATATAAACATAGATGGCAAATATTATCCAAGAGAAGAATATTCTACAGTTGAGGATATGAGGTCATACAACTTGACATTAGATGCTATGAACTTTAACAACAACTTCACAACAACCATAACCCTGAAATGCAAAGTTCTATTATGCCATATGTGAAAGTATGGACTCATACAGGAGGTCAAAAAACTCAATATACAAATGGAGACCGTTCAAACTTTTGGCTTGGCATTCCATTTGCTGACTCAGAAGACTTTATGGTGGTATTTCAACTGTTGGTACAGTTCAAATACAATATACCGGTGACAGAGACGGTCCAGATGAACTGAGAGCAAAGAAGTTTACAAAACCAATAGCACTTTTCACGGAAGATGCTCTTTTGAAGATTCGTTCGATGAAACCTGCTGGGGCTCCTCAGATTGGCATAACGACAGCTTCCATCGAGCAGATTTTGGCAGCAGGTCAGTAAGTTGTTCTTGAACTGACTTCTCTCCGTCAAATATTGACAGTACGCCAGTTTTGACATAATATTGTAAGATAAACTTACCTTTAGAAATATCTGTAAGTTTTGAAGTTATATTTTTGTCTGCTTCAAGAACTTTCACCATTTCAGTTATACCAACTTTCTTTGCTTTATGGAAATATTTTGGTTCAGCAAATATTGCTATTCTATAACATTTACCATTGTTTGTATAAAGAACTATTCTGTCAATGTATTTGTATTGTTTTGTGTGTGTAAACCTTTGTTCTGCTTCAATTCGAAGAGATACTCGAATACGTCCATCTTTTTATTCTAAGTAAAATGTCATTTCCGAAAAATAGAAGCGTAAGTGTTTCAAAAAGGTTTAATGGCGGTGGCAGATGTGAAGTTAAATTCACCAACAAACAAACAGTCAAAGTGTTGTTGTCAATGTCAAAGACAGAGATGTTGAAGTGGGGAAACCATACGAAGACGAAGATGGTATAAACAATTGTTCCTGTAAAAGAACCAACATATCCTGAAGTTAGCAGAGACTTAAGTTCTGTTGCAGATATTCGAAACGACTACCACAACTTAAAGACAAACTTCAAACTCAGGAGAAGATTTGTCAAGCTTTAGGTATAATGTTAAACTTGGTCGAACACAACCCTGTAAAAGTGAACTCATATGTCATCGCACCTCATGAAGTTTTGAAAGAACTATTGAAACTTTTGACAGAGGCAGACGATATAAACATCAAAGAAATAGAACCCGACATTAGTTGCTGTGGTGTTTCATATAATGTCATTGACAAGATATACGTTATGAAAGGAGGTGAAACGTTGAACTTAAAATATAGTTTCCCAGACGTCATAAAAATATTTGACGACCACAACATTTCATTAAAATTTATTTGCTAAGTAAAAATGTCAAAACTTCTTGAAAGATGTTTGAAGAAAAATAATATAGACTTTATTTCATGTAAAGGACTTTACACACTTTTGAACGATATGAAAGACCCTGTTTTGTTGTTTCGTGTAGACAAAGGAAAGTTCTATGTCTTTACAAAATATTTGAACTTCTTAGACAGAGAACTTCAAGAAACGCCATGTGAAAGTTTAGATGAAGTTCTTCTCCACTTTCAGAAAAACTTTTAAATATATATAAATGGCAGAAGATATAATGGTTTATACTATTACGACTAAAAACCCTGAGTCATATAATTCTATAACAACAAACTTACAAAGTCCTCAAGGACGATATTGTAAACTAACTTTAAACACAATGACGACTAAAGCCTGTTTTGCTCTTTTGACACCAGAAGATTTTATTGTTGTGAATGGTAAAAAATACTCCTTTGAAGATACTTACTCAGATATACCACCAACAGGTTTTGTTGACTTATTTAATACTTTAAGTACAGGTGTAACATGTGCTGCAACTAGAGCAGGTTTCATTATGTTTGGATGTCCGACTGAGTTTACTATAAACAATATGAGCTATAATACAAAACTTATTTCTGGTTTTTACTACCAACAGTTTCCTATAACAGGAAAAGGTGTCATACAAGGAATGTCTATTCCATTGACATTAAGCACACCAATCTTATATATTGTTTCAAACTTAGGTTCAAAGTGTTATTCGAATGTCGACAGAAACTATTATGACCAAAAGATACTTATGCGTATAAACAATACTTTCTCTGCTGGTTTGCCTATTGTTCATTCGAATGCAGAATTTTCAACCTTAGTGAACTCAAACACTTTGGCAAGTATAACGTTGACATTAGTTGACGCAAACTTTGTTCCTGTAAAACTTTTATGTCCTATGTATTTGTCAATGACGGCAGAAAGTTTCGAATTGGAAGATGCAACTGGTGAAAGTATTGTATTACAAGAACAACTTCAACAACAAATAGCTCAAGAACAACAAATGCAACAAATGCAACAACAAAGTCAAGAATAAAAAAAAATATTTTTTTTATTTTTATAAAAATGTACAGAATAGATGTTTCAGATTTTTATGACTTCCAAGCATTCAGAAATATGTGTCCATTTAGAGACTATAACAAAGCAGTCGAGAATTTGAAACGTTTAGTCATTTATGTCGACTCTGCCCCAGAATGTTATGTCATGAAAGAATGGGATGTAGTCTTTAACAAACCTAAAGCGACAATAGTTTCAGAACAAGAATGTAGACAGAAACTTAAGAAAATAAAAGTTGTACAAGTTGGCATGAAGATGTTAGATGCTTGGGATATCTTATTGTCAAAGTTAGAAGATTTTTCAGTTCGAGGTATAAAGTTCTATACACCTTCTCCAAACTTCTATTCTATCTTCACTGGATATAAATACGAACAAGTAGAATGGAAAGAAAATATTATAGAAGCTTGGTTAGACCATGTCAAAGAAATTATATGCAATGGAAACGAAAGAGTCTATGAGTATATCTTATGTTGGTTTGCAAACATCTTACAACATCCAAGTGCTAAAAATGAAACTGCTCTCATTATAATTGGAAAACAAGGAACTGGTAAGAACACATTCTTTACAGATATCTTATGCAAACTGTTAGAGGGCTATTCGAACCCGAATATGACAAACATAGAAACATCTGTGGCAAGTTTAACTCCTCAATAGAGAATATGAAACTTATAGTTTGCAATGAACTTCAAAGTATAGATACAACAAAAGTTTTGAACTCAGATGCTTTGAAGAGTCTTATAACAGACAAAGTTGGAGTTGTTGAAAGAAAATATAAAGACCAAAGAGTTTGTGAAAATGTTGCAAACTTCATTATGGTTTCAAACAATGCTGTTCCGATGAAGTTAGAAAGTTCTGACAGAAGATATGTAGTTGTCAGAACGTCAGATTCTCATATGCAAGATACAGAATATTTTGACGACTTAGCAGAAACTTTGACATCTGACTTTTACAACCACTTGTTCTCATATTTTATGACATTAGATATTTCAAAGTTCAATCCAAGACAAATTCCACATACCGAAGAGAGACAAACATTGTTAGAAGCAAACAAGAGTGTATATGAACTGTTCATAGATGAAACTGACTTTGAGTGTTTAGATGAAAGGTCATTGTACGATTCGTATAAACAATATTGTCAAGAATATGGTTATATGGCAGCTTCTAAACGTACATTCTTGGCAAATGTCAAAAGTCTTTTAGACGTACAGAATGGTGTATATACAAAGAAAAATTTTTATGAGTAAATTTAAAAAAAATATTTTTTTATCCGATAGAAAAGATGGCAAAATTCATCTCAGTAAACAAGTACATGTCAGGACTTAAAGAAGAACTAGACCCATTCACATATTTGAATGTTTACTTCTACCATTTTGAAAAGTCTTCATTCAGCAAAGTTTGGAACATCGAACCAGTTAAGTTTGCTATTGTGACTAAAAATGGTGCGAAATTTGAAGACTTAGACATAGAAGGTTTGTTAGCAGTCAAAGAAAGTTTGACAGAAGGTTCTCAAACCTTAAAGAAGGCAAAGCATACAAACTTGTTATACCTTATGAACCAAAGAAAGCAGACGACTATGAATATTATGAGTCTAAGATAGTTGAAGTTCAAGGTAAATTGGGTAAAAAGATTTTAGAGTCTAAGCCAGTGTTTGCCCCTAAAGAGGAAGAGAACATTGACATTGACCCAGAAATGTTCTAAAAATAAAATTTTATTTTTACATGTCAAATTTCTTTTTCTCTGGAACTGGTTCAGGTTCTTTCTTCTCTTCTTCTACTTTCTTTTCTTTCTTTTCTCTCTTCTTCTTCTCTGGTGGAGTTATGTCAAATTTCTCCGAACCATATTTCTGTAAAAGTTCTTTGTCCTTTAATAGCTCATCTATTCTGTTTCCTATTTCATCTTCAAGAACAGCGCATGTGTCTTCTTTGCATTCTAAGAACTTTTGTTGGACTTCATCTTTCCAAGAGGCGTCATCTCTGTCAACAAGTCTGTCATTGACAAATTTTAAGACTGTTCTGCTTAATGTTTTATGGTTCTTGTCATATTCCCAGAAACAGAACTTTAGAACAAATTCACCTTTCTTGTTTACACTATGTAAGATTTTATGGTCGACAGATGTTTTGCTGTCAAAAAGCTTGTCTCGAATATAGATAGCGAAATCGCTAGACATTTTCTAAAAGATAAAAATTTTAATTTTTCTAAAAATATGTTAGAAAAAAAGTTTGCTGACATTGACAAGAAATTTGAGAATATTTTAAACAAGAACAAGAGGAAGTTAGAAAATGCTCAGATAAAGCCTATACATGACAAGTTCTTATTTGCTCAGAATGGTATAACAGGTCTAATTGCACCACCTGGGTCGGGTAAGACTTTCACTTATCTTAAAATGGCTGCACAACAACAAGAACTAGATGAGAAGAACCCATTTTATGAGTTAGTTGTCATTTGTAGTACTTCTGGTCAATTTGACCAAACCGTCAATTCGTTCAAAGATATTATAAAGAAGTCTAAGTTAGTATGTATAAAAGACTCTGAGTTGTTAGATTGGATAAAGAAGTACCAAAGAAGGGTTTTGAAGTACAATGCTATAAATGAGTATATAAATTCTAAGTTCAAAGACCCAAATGAGGAAATGCAGAGAATATTAGAGAAGAAACACTTCAGAAACAAACAGAAAGAGATAGAATACATTTCGAAGAAATTGCAATCTTACGATTGGAAGACATACCCTCATAGGTGTCTTCTTATCTTAGATGATTTCGCCTCTCATCCTTTGCTTAAGAACAGAGAACAAGATATGTGTCGAATTCTTAAGAAGCTCAGACACTTTAACATCTCAGTTGTCATTTGTGTACAGACAGCAAAGAGTTTAAGTAAGGATGTTAAAAGAATACTTACTGACATTATACTTTTCCCCGGATTGTCCGAAGACGATTTCATGGAACTTATGAAAGAGTCCATGGCAGGTAAGTTTGACAGACATGAACTATGGGAGAAGTACAAAGTCATACAAGACCCTCATACTTCTTTCAGAATTCATATCTACGCAAACAAAGTTCAAATTGTAAAAAGTCAAGCTTGAAAAATCTAAGTGTTTAGTCTTAGTAAGTCTGTTGTGGTGCTGGGGCTGTCGGTTCTTCTGGCTTTGGAAGGCATTCAGGAAGAGGAACGTCAGTCATCCGTTTGTGTCCTGTCGGATGGAAGAACTTTTCCTGTTGGAAGGAAGAACTTTTCCTGTTGGAAGGAAGAACTTTTCCTGTTGGAAGGAAAATTTTTTTCCTGTCGGATGGAAAAATTTTTCCTGTCGGATGGAAAATTTTTTTCTGAAGTTCGACCAAAAAGTTCTCAATTTTCGAAAATTTGAATGGTTTACGGACGGACAACTGGAAAATTTTTTCTTGTCGGATGGAAAATTTTTTCTTGTTGGAAGGAAGAACTTTTTTCTGTTGGAAGGAAAAACTTTTCCTGTCGGAAGGAAGGACTCGGAATGCCAGAAGGATTTGACAAGGCAATTTACTTTATAGAGCTACCTGAGCCATCTGAAGTCAAGCTTGAAAAATAAATGGTTCATCTACTCTACTTGTTTGAAGTTGTCAAAATACTCTGTTATTTTTTCCTTTAACAATGGCAAATCTTCTTTGAAGGTAAGTATTGTACAACCTTTAATATCATAGTGTGTTTGAGGTAACGTATCTTGAACTATTTGTTTCACATCTTCATTCGGTGTCATTGAAATCGGTAAGTTTTCGCGATAGAACCAATTTCTGTCAGATTTGTAAATCTTAGCAAGGTCGTAAAAGCTTTTGTTGTTTCTTCTGACTAAATGCAACATAACCATATCTTTATCTTCTTCATTTTCCATCTCTTCAGTATAAATCATATACTTATAGTTCTTTTCCTTACCTTTTGGTACCGAACGTGGTATTCTTTTCTGAATGTTTTTGTCTTTTGCTTCAAGCTTGTTCTCTAGCTCTTCACGTTCTTGTCTATGAATTTCATCTAACATCATGAAAATATAACAAGCGTAACGAGGTGAAGCCCACATTGCAACAGCATTTACTAAAAGTCTATGAACATAATATCCTCTCAAACCATTTAGCAAATTTTTACGATTTTCGTACGGAATCTCGACCCTCGGTTTTCCGAGGGTCGCAAACATATGAGGAAATTCTTCTAAAAGTTCTTTTGTCTGTTGGTTTTCAAACCAATGATATGCTTGCTTTGTAGAACGAAGAGCGTTCAAAATACTTTGCATCTGGTACATATCGTCTTTGACCGAACGAATGAGACGTAACTGTTTGTTATACTGTATGTACTCGTATTCTTCATTTATAGCTTCATGGACTATAACTGTTGTTGTGTTCTCTGTTGTTGACATATCTGTCCTTACATACAAAATAAAAAAATAAATAAAAATAAAACTAACTTTATTTTTTCTGTCTTAAGGAAATTCATGATTTTCATAGAGTTTTAGGCTAGACCGATAAAATCCGGTCTAGAGAAATTTCATGATTTTCATGTGTTTTGGCGACCCAGAAAAAAAAAACGGTCTCGCTGTGCTTCATGATTTTCATAGAGTTTTGGCGACTAAGGTTTCTTACCTACTCGCTGTGCTTCATGATTTTCATAGAGTTTTGGCGACTGGGGTTTCTTACCTACTCGCTGTTCTTCACGATTTTCATGAGTTTTAGGCAAGGCCGGTAAAATCCGGTCTAGAGAAATTTCACGATTTTCATACGGAATCTCTTCTCTCGGTTTTCCGAGGGAAGCAAGCATATGAGGAAATTCATGAAATTTGGTCATTTTTCAGCAAAAATAATGTTTAGGTGAAGAGGTGCGATCTCACCTGTTTTTTCACCTGTTTTTTCACCTGTTTTTTTACAAGCGTTTTACATGGTAAACGTTATTTTTACATGTATTTTTCAGCAACTTCGTCAAATAATTTTATAGCTTTATCTATCTCATCTACTTCAAACGTTTCTTTACCTTTCGTGGGAGCACCATACATTTTCTCAAACTTTTCGAGTAGTTCTGTTTCAGCAGCTCTCATATCGTTAACGAACACAACCTTAACTCTATTGACTGTACTGTCATATCTTTGAGTTATATTATATGTTCTTCCTATCTTATATCTCTTTGTATTGAAGTCCTTCGGTTTCTGAACGATGTAAAGTAAGCCTTCACTGCAACGTTCTGAGTCGAATAAACCATATGTTATGAAGTTATATCCAACAACTGGGTCTAACCATAACAAAACTATTGGTATAAGACTTTTGTCGATGAGATATGCTGCAGTTCCATAGAATTTTACCGATATCATAAGCTCAGGATTTCTTGTCAAAATTTTCTGAGTAGAAGCAATTTTAACCCAGTGGTTTGTTTTTTTTCCAAATGGAGATAAAATGTCTGACAAAGAATATTTGTTGTATTTCTTTGAGTATCTTACGTTTAAATCACCTATTCTAACCACTTTGGTGTCATTGTCTATCTTTCCAACTGTTTCAAACTCATTGTTTGTCATTTCTTTCTTTAAGTCTGCATAGTCGTTTCTCATACGTTCTATCTCTTTGACGGAGTAGTTATATTTCCTAATTGCTGCCTTACATTTAGAACATTGCGGGTTCATTTTTGCGTTATACATTGAAATTTGACCTGCTAGAACAACTAAGGCGTCAATGGTTTTCTTTAACTCAAAAGTTGCTGGTTTTATTTGTTCATTCCATACCTTACCTCTTCTATCTTTATCTCTTATCTGCCATACACATTCAGCAACTAACGAAACAAAGTTGTCGTAGGTCTTAAACTCCCGGGTTTTGTAAAGGTCAGAAACATTCTTATATACCATGTCGCAATCTTTGTCCATAACCTTATGGTTGCAATGAAATCCTAGAAACTCATAGTTTACCTTTCGTATGAACTTCTTTATTTCTACTGAGTCAGTTGCTTTGACTTCAATTTCGTCGAATTCAGGAATAGTGAGTTTTTGTTGCTGAATTTCAGGCAATTTGGGTAAATGGTCAATAATGTCCTGCATTTCATAAAGATACTGTTCATTTGTTTCATCTTTCGCACTACAGTCTAAATTACATGTTAAAAGTTCTTGCTTTATCTTCTGGATTTCTGTTTCAAAAGTATATGAAGACGAAGTGAAGCTTTTCATCTCTACCAGCATAGATGTTGGATTCATGACTAACGAGTTTGGTGCTGTTGTTGTTTGAATTGTTGTTGTGCCGATTGTTGAAATCATGTCTTTTATACAAAATAAAAAAAATAAAAAAAAATAAAACTAACTTTATTTTTTATTTCGGGAAAATTCATGAAAATTCAAGAGGTTAGAAAAGAGGGTAGAAAGGAGGGTAGATCTAACCTTCTACCCTAAACATTATTTTTTGGTGTAAATTTCCTAAACTGACTGACTGACTGACTGACGGCACAAAGTGGCATAACGAAAACATTTACGAAGAAGTCATGACAAAACATGTACGATGAAATCATGAAAATTCATGAAAATTCAAGAGGGTAGAAAAGAGGTTAGATCTAACCTTCTACCCTAAATTATATTTTTGGTCCGGGAACAAAATGAACGAGGTCAGGATGTATGTAAATACATTTGAATTCATTCATAACACCCTTTGTAAGCTCATAAAATGCTTGTTTTGAGGTCGAGCCACATTTGGCTCCACCGTATTCTTTCAACCAAAACTCAAGAATTTCCCGCATGAATTTTGTATAAAAACCAACCGTCTGTATTCCGACGGTTGCTATATTCTTGACAAAACATTTACGATGAAATCATGACAAAACATTTACGTTCATGTTTGACAAAGCATGTACGATGAAGTCATGACAAAACATTTACGAAGAAGTCTTGACAAAACATTCATGAAAATTCATGAAAATTCAAGAGGGTAGAAAAGAGGTTAGATCTAACCTTCTACCCTAAACTTTATTTTTGGGTCCGGGAACAACTTTCTCTCAATAGGGGCTGTAGCATACTCTTTGCGTAAGCGGTTCAGACCTTCTTCGAACTCTTGGTCTCTCTTCGATTGGGATTGAGATTGGAATTGCTGGGGTGGAGCTTGCTGGAACATCCAAGGGTTGGGGAAGTAAGGCATAGGCTGAGGAGGGTAGTTCGGGAAGCCTTGTGGTGGAAATTGGTAGTAACCTTGAGGTGGAAATTGGTAGTAAATCGGAGGTACTTGCTGGAACTGAGGTTGCTGAGGAGACTGTTGTGGTTCTTTAGGTTCCTCTGGTTTGGGAATGGACTGGGTTGGTGGGACGTGGGACATTCGTTTGTGGCTTAACCGTCGGACCACCAACGATAAAAATCTCTGCTACTAGCAGTACTGCTACTGACAGTAGCAGTACTTTTACTGACAGTAGCAGTACTTTTACTGACAGTAGCAGTACTTTTACTGACAGTAGCAGTACTTTTACTGACAGTAGCAGTACTTTATCGTCGAAAACCCTCTCAAATTTTCCTTTTTACTGACATTAGCAGTACTTTTACTGACAGTAGCAGTACTTTTACTGACAGTAGCAGTACTTTTACTGACAGTAGCAGAGATTTTTATCGTCCAACTTTACAAATGTAAACTTATATCGTTCTATTTTCTTCACTAGGGTCTAACACCAAAGTAACCTTACAAATGTAAACTTATATCGTTCTATTTTCTTCACTAGGGTCTAACACCAAAGTAACCTTACAAATGTAAACTTATATCGTTCTATTTTCTTCACTAGGGTCTAACACCAAAGTAACCTATGTACATGAAATTTCACTGCATAAAAGGAAAAAACCTGCGCGAATCGGGATTTGAACCGAGGTCTTCGACGCCTTTAACGAGGTAGCCCATACCACTGAGCTATGAGCCGCTTGCATATTCTCAAAAATAAATTGTTTTCATGAGTTTTCTACGATGTTAGAAAAAAATGTTATTTTCTAATATCTTCACATTCAATACTTTTTCAGCACTTTTCCGTAGTTATATATGAAAGACAATTCGAGATAAAAGTCATAGTACAATGGAATAATATGTTGCACACCATTTGTTGTGAACCAAACTTGAAAGTCAGAGAAACTGTTACTAGGTGGTTCGTAGAATTTAGAAGCAAAGTCATAAAAGTCCTTACCAATACATAGAAAACTATTGTTGCTTGAACTGAAACTTGCATGACACATAACATTTTGAGGGTCAAACACACGTTTCTATAAACTGTCAAATCTGCTGGTGGAAGTATAAATTGAAATGGACCATCTGGTGGTAATGGTTCGTTCTGGTTTAGTAACCGAAGAAATTGTGCCCAAGAACGTTTGTCTACTTCCCAAAATAAAACTCTGTATCTCTTGGAGGGTTAATTTCAATCTTTTGAAATGAAACGGTGGAGTTCATCTTGTCATATTCTAGTTTCAGATAGTATGTTCCATTTAGTAAAGAGTCGTATTTTTCTTGAAATTCCCAATAATATTTGTTCATTTGAGTTTGAAAGTCATTTAGAGTTTTCTCAAGACTTTCGTCTGAACGAACTGTAAAGATCCTCATTTCGTCAAATTTGTCTATTAGACCATCAGAACCTTTATACTGCCCATGAAATATACTACGAACATAAATGCGTTAGTTCTATTTGAAAACAAAACTCTTCTAAATCCTATTGCCTTTGCATCTGAAGGACTTTGAAGCCAACGAATTGGATAGTCAAACCTGTATATTCGGGATGAAATTTCTTCATCTGATATTGTCCTACCAGCATTTGTAAAGATATAGTCTAACGGTTTTGTATCTGCTACTTTTGTTCTTTGTTTTTCAACCTGAAGCATTTAATATATGTAAAAATATATTGTTTTAAAATGGTATGCCATATAGCTTCTTGAATTTGTTAAGAAGTATTTGAACGTTTTTTCCATCTGTATCTCTAGTGTTTACATAAGCATAGCCCGCCTTAGTAAAATATACTTGTAATTTCCTATAGTTTACGCCGGTATAAAAGTAGAAAAGAGTCTTGTTCTTCGCTATAGTAGTAAAACTCAAACGTATGCTTGCCATAGTCTGTAATTTCAATTGTTTCATCTTCTAGTTCGTCGACAAATTCGAATACAATATCTCCAAATTTGCCTTTGTTCTTATTGTTTTCAGAACGAGTGACCCAACGTAAGTTTTCAAGTCTATTGTCGTTTCTTATACGGTTTATATGGTCTACAAAAGGTAAATTGTTAGGATTCAGTATAAAATGAGTTGCAATGACAACATGTTTAAGATAGTGTTTTCCACCCATCTTCATAACAGCATATCCGTTATTTCGCTCCCATTCGCTTAAAACTCTTTTTGTCTTTTTGTTTCTGACTTCAAATGACTCACAACAGTGAATTTCATATTTCTCATCTAACAAACAAGTTTCCCAACGGTCTTCTCCAACAAACTCAGCGTACATTTCAAATAAAATAAAAAAATGTCACTTTTTAAAAAATAAATTTTTACTTCATGCAATGCTCACTAACATCGAAAGGCATGTCCATAAGACGTTCTTCTTCTAACCTCTCTAGTCTGTTTGGATAATTGGCACGTGCTGTTTCCAAATCCATTTCGTAGGTCAGACCAGCCAGTTTGTCATAGACTTTTATGGGTCTTCCCTTCCTATATTTAAACTTCTTCGAAACTCTCCAACCATATCTTTGCAACTCTGCTTTTATTCTAGCAGACTTTCTATCCATTCTATATGGGGGCATTTTTATAAAAATAAAAAAATATTTTTTTCTTTACTTAACATAACCGCCTGCTGCCATAAGTCTTTGACGCCAACCCATACCAGCTAATGAAGGTTGACTTGGTTTAGTTTGGAAACTAAACTTTGGTTTTGGTTTATCTTCAGTTTTTGGTTTTTCTTCTTCTATCGGTTTTTCTTCTTCTATCAGTTTTTCGTCACTTTTCGGTTCCTCTGACTTTACCCTACTTGCAGGAACAGTTGTGTCGTCAACATCTTCATAAATATCATATGCCATTTGTTTTTGTTTTCCTTTCAACTTTTTGTGTTTGTTGTAAAGTTTAGAATATTTCGACTCTAAGTCAATGAGATGTTCTATAATGAACTGTTGGTCAGTGAAGTAAACTTTTCCATCTGTTGTCTCGAAAGCTCCTTCAGACTTCAATATTTTATTTGTGAGAGTCTGTTTCTTTTTTGAGATAC